TGCTCATCTTACATATCATTACTTATTTTATTTACCATTCTAAACCTTCTATATTAACTTCTCCACATATTTCACACTTCTTAATTCTACCTTAATTAATCATCTTAGTTTAAATCATTATATTTGTATCTTTTGTCCATTTTTTATCATCCCTTTGTCTCATCCCTTATAAAAAAAAAGAAAATCAGTTTCTCCTGAAATCATTAATCAGAGTATGATGCCTTTCTATCTCCCCCCTAAGTTAATCAAATTAATCTTTAAAATAATATCTAATACCCAATCAGATTTTGCTTGGTACATTCTATCTAACTAATACATCCAACACAATTAAGTGCATAATTAGACAATAAATCCAAATATTAAAAAGAAATACTATAATAAAAATTTTATAATAACATCAATACCATAATTTTATTAAACTCTTTAATTAAAACAATATTCTAAACCTCTCCTATTATTAAGTTTTAAAGCCAATCATTTTTAAACATTTTAACATTTTAATCTCTTATCAACTCTTAAACCATTGCAATACTACCATCTCATCTTATGTACCTTGCAAAATCTTTTTTTTTTTAAAAAATTATACTTTATCCATTATCCATAAAAGATTCCTTTTTTCCATTTAATTTCAAAACATTGTAGCTTTTCTCCACCTTTTCCCTTTCTTTCTTTTCCCAACAAACCTTTCTACCCCCCCTTCTTCTAGCCTCTGCCTTACCGGCTTCCCTTCTCTGTCGTATTTCTTTTCCCCTTTGTTTACAATCATCATATTGGTTTTGCACTTTATTTTTCCCTTTCTTAAATGTTTTTTTGGATCTTAAGTCCTTAAATCCTTTAGTTTTCTTCTTTTCTCTTCTTTTCTTTTCTTTCTCTCTTCCTTTTTTCTGGATCAAATTCTGAGATTCATTAAAGATGGCTCCTTCCTTTCTTTCTTGTTCCTCTGCTGTCTTCATCTGTTGTAATTTTTGTTGATAATTAGTAAGCGCCATTTCTAAGAAAAGGAAAGCTTCTTCCACACCATCTTTACCATTTTTTTTTGCTTGCTCATATTCTTTTCTTAGTTCCTCAACAGAAAGAGCCATTATAAATCTTTTCTTTTCTTTTCTCCTTCTTTCTTCTTACAACAACCAGAATATTCAAAAGAAAATAAAAAAGATAAAACAGTCCCAAAGTTATCAATCAGTCCAAACCAAGGCAGAGTTCTCACTTTCTCCTTCTGGGGTAATATCAATCAAAGAGAAAGAAAGTCCAAATCTGTTTAAAATCTTATTACAATATATTCTAGTCTTCAAATCCTTAAGGCATCTGCTCCAACAAATCTTAGCATACAAATATTTTCTTTTTAATCCTCTCTCTTCCCACTCATCGCTTAAAACCAATTTCCACCTAAAAAAATAGGTTTCTTAATATCCAGTTATTTATTCCGTAGGAAAAGAGGGAAAGCTATCCTTTCAGCACCTTCAAGCAGCCGCTTTTTTCCTCTTCTGGCAGGTATTATTCAGAAAATCATACTTTTCAGGAATTTTATTAAATATGTCTTAGAGTCCTAGGAGCCAAGAAAAACTTTCTCCTCTCAATCACTTTCTCCACTTCCTCCTGCGCATTCTTACCCGGCTGCCAGCTTCTTTGTGGCGGCCATTACGGACCGCCGCTGCACCGTCCTGGGAAAAGGGGGTTCTGCCGGCCAGGGAGGGGGTCTGCAACACCCCCAGTCCCTTCTCCGGATCCCCCCTACCTTCAGCTGCCCCTGCAGGGCAGCCTAGCTCCGTACCTGTGTGGGTCGGAGCCCCAAAAACGGCTAGCGCGGCAGGGATCGCGCAGCTTCGCAAATCCCTGCCGCTCGCGAAGCCGACAAACCGGAAGTCCCCATTGCTAAAAAATTTTGAAGCCCACCCCTGGGTGGCGAGGCAGGGAGGCACAGCTGTTGGACCTTTAGAAGCAGATCTTCAATACCTTTCAGGAGGTCTGTTGTAACATCAATCAAGGCTATCCAACTGGGTCATAAGCCGAGGACTACTTAGATGACGTGACGTTTGGGTCCATCAGATGCTACGCTTCAGCTAAGGTGTTCTGGGAAGAGGGAACACGCTATGGTCCTTTTGTTTTCTTTCTTAAAGAGAACTACACGTCTGTTGTGGTTTGCCGGCAGTAGGTGCGGACGGCTGAGGTTTGGGAGAGTGAGGACTCAGATGAGGGGCCTGCATGTGATGCAGGGATGGGGCCAGGACCATCAGGGAGTGGAGTGCTGCCTCAGAGATTGTGGAGGTTGGCAGCAGCGATGAAGAGGTTCCTGAGGAGCTGCTGCAGCAGCACGGGCGACTCGGGAGTAAGGCTGCAAGGTAATGGCCCCTCCCTTGAGAGATAAAAACCAGTCTGAGAGACTGGTATTCTTTGCAGGAAGCAAATAAGTTCTTGCACTTCAAGCCTTGTGGAACTTCGGACTATCTTGGTTTGTGTTTGAATTTTTGTTTGGAATATTTCTTGGCAATTTAATCTAGTGCTTTTGGCAGCCTTGCACAACTTTGGCAAGGCTCGTTCTTATCAGAGACAATTAGTTTTAATAGCCTTTTAACCATGAATTAACGAAATTTACAGAGAGGCATTAAAAGGTTTTGCTTTTATCTCTGTATTTGTTTGTTTACTTGGAACAAGGTTTGGGTCAGAACAATGTCCAGATCTCCTACTAAACTCTACTCTCCACCTCTGAATGCGATGTTATGCATCCACGTTATATGGGTAAGAAGTTGCTGATTACTTTTTACCGTTTTACCATCGAGAGCATTTTGGCATACTGTGTAACGGTGTGGTATGCTGGATGCTCTGTAGTGGATAAGAAGATGCTCCAGAGAGTTATAAACACAGCACAAAAAATAATCGGTCGCTCTCTTTCTTCTTTGGAAGAGATTGCAAAGACCAGACTCCTCTCTAGAACACTAAAAATCTCCACAGACCGTTCTCATCCTGGTCATTCATACTTTGAACTGTTACCATCAGGAAGACGTTATAGGTGTCTTAAAATGAGGACTAATAGATTGAGAAACAGTTTCTTTTCCAAGGCAGTAATTGTCTTGAAACAAACAGTGCATTTGTCATTTGTGATTTAGTCCTATGTATATAGTGACATTTTTAAACTATTTAACTTACTAAATGTTTTAGATAGGTTTTAGACTAGGTTTTTAATTATTATTATTTTTTAAATTATTTTAATTTTTAAATACTCTGTAGTGTGATTGTGATGTGGTGTTTGGGGCACTGTGCTGGAGTAAGCTTTCAAATTTCATTGTATTCGTGGAATGCAATGACAATAAAAGTATTCTAAATTCTAAATGACCAGTGGTGGGATTCAAATATTTTTACTACCGGTTCTGTGGGCATGGCTTGGTGGGCATGGCTTGGTGGGCGTGGCAGGGGAAGAATACTGTAAAATCCCCATTCCCTCCCCAGCCTATTAATCTGCTTTCCAGCTACGTTCTCCTGTGCAGGGCAACCAAAGACCCAGCCGATCAGCTGGGACTCAATGGGAGGCAGAGAATAGATGGGGGCGGGGCCAGTCAGAGGTGGCATTTGCCAGTTCTCCGAACTACTCAAAATTTCCGCAACTGGTTCTCCAGAACTGGTCAGAACCTGCTGAATACCCACCTATGATGATGACGTTATCTTGTTTGGATAATGAAACATCTGCAAGAAAACAATCAGAAAACACCAGAGGACCTCTCGTATTCCACATTGTTTAAGATGCATTTCCAACAACTGGACAATATACTTAAAATAGGGCTGAAATAAAGCACAATGCAGTAGACCTAGTATGCCTTTCACAGTTTATAAACCATTCTATTGATAGTCTACGATTAGAATTTCCTGTTTCACAGTTACATCAAATGATTCACTAATATAACGAGTATGAAGGATGCCTCCCTTGGAGGTTGATGAACATGATAGATACACGATCGTTTTCAACCTATCTTATGAAGTCCATATTTAGAAGAGGCCATTTATGTCAAAATTGAACAGCTCTCCCTCAACAAAGGGGGGGGGGAATACAACATCATCTATCTCCAGTCTACGACACAGTCCTTCCAACAGTTCCAAGAAGGCTCCATGCCAGTGGTGGGATTCAATTTTTTTTTTACTACTGGTTCTGTGGGCGTGGCTTGGTGGGCGTGGCTTGGTGGGCGTGGCAGGGGAAGGATACTGTAAAATCTCCAGTCAGAGGTGGTATTTGCCAGTTCTCCGAACTACTCAAAATATCCGCTACCGGTTCTCCGGAACTGGTCATAACCTGCTGAATACCACCTCTGCTCCACGCCCATTTGCAACTACTCAGGTGAAAAACAGCTTCTATCCCAGGGCAGTAGGTCTTTTGAATTCTACTGTATAGTGCGGTGATGGAGGTTTTCAGTTCAATGTGTGGAGTGTGAAGGATGTGTGTTTGTGGGTTTTTTTTCATGGTCATGATGTGCACTGAAGATGGTGTTTGATTTCGTTGCACGAGGCGCAATGACAAATAAAGTAAACTAAACCCTGAGGACACAGATAAACCTCCAAATGGCCTCAATGACCCTCTAAAAGGATGCAAATGACCAGCTGTTTGCAAGGTATATAAATCCTTCCATTCCCCACCACCCAGTCAGAGCCGAAAAAGCTTCTTGGATGAGAAGCAAAAGGTCTTCAAAGAAAAACCAGTTGCCTCTGGAAAAAAGCACCTTTGGGACTATCTTTATGAAGTCGTATAGTGTGTCAGTTTTTCAGGCGACGCTGAATGAGCTTGCAAATGACCATATTATTGTGTGGTTCATTGTCAAAAGGCCAAAAACAAAGACATTGTATATTCACACCATTGTGCAATCTGCTAAAATGTTATAGCACTGAGCTCTCTGTTCTTTGATTTCTTTCCTTATGACACTATCAAACTATCTCATCCTCAGCTTTCCTTTCCTCCTTTGGTCTTCAGTCTTTCCTAGCGTCACTTTCTCACTCTTCTCATTTATAAGTCCTCTCTTCTCATTTAGCAGCCAAAGTATTTGAGCTTTGGCTTCAGTATCTGTCCTTCCAAATAACAACCAGGGTTGATTTCCTTCAACAGCAACCGATTTGATCTCCTTGGAGTCCAAGAGTCTTCTCCAATGCCACAATTTGAAAGCGTCAAATCTTTTGGCACTCAGCTTTCCTTACCATCCACCCGTCACAGCCAGACATTACTGCAGGGAAAACCATAGCTTTGAGCTTAATTTGAAAGAGACTTGATCTTTTTTAGGCAGTACCACCATGTGAAGTTTTAAAACAGCCATTGGAGAGTCGAGCCTTTTCTATATTCCTGGTAGGAATTTCGTGATTCCTGAACATTATCCTTTATCCTCTTACCCCACTTATCAGCATGCACCGGGCCTCTCTTTGATGTGTGTTCTTTCATGCCTGCGGAGGTGTGTGTTTGAACTGAAGCACTTGCCACATTCCAAACACTTGTACGGCTTCTCCCCGGTGTGAATTCTCTGATGGGTCACGAGGGAGCTGCTCACGCTGAAACTTTTCCCGCACACCGAGCACATGTAAGGCCTCTCTCCCGTGTGAGTTCTCTGGTGGGTACTGAGGTGGGCATTCCAATTGAAACACTTCCCACACTCCAGGCATTTGTACGATTTCTCCCCCGTGTGATTTTTTTCATGGGTGCTGAGGTTGATCTTCGTGATGAAGCACTTCCCGCACTCTGAGCATTTATATGGCTTCTCTCCCCGGTGAATCCTCTCGTGTATGATCAGGTGAGAGCTGCGAAGGAAGCCCTTCCCGCACTCCGCGCATTTGTAGCGCCTCTCGCCCGTGTGAATCCTCTGGTGAGAAGTGAGGTTGCTGCTCACATTGAAACTCTTCCCGCACTTCGGGCATTTGAACGGTCTCTCCCTGGTGTGGGTTCGCTCGTGGCGACAGAGGTGGGAGTTGGAAGCGAAGCACTTTCCGCATTCTGCGCATTTGTAGGGCCTTTCCCCCGTATGGGTTCGTTGGTGCCTGCGCAAGTGTGTGTTTGAATTGAAACACTTCGTGCATTCTAGACACTTATAGGGTTTCTCTCCCGTGTGAGTGATCTGATGGGTAATCAGAGAAGAACTCTGTGTGAAGCTTTTCCCGCATTCCAGGCATTGATACGGCTTCTTCCCGCTGTGTGATCTCTGATGTCGGCTTAGTTCGGCCCGCTCGCTGTAGCACTTGCCACAGTCCGAGCACCGATGCGGCTTTTCTCCCGAGTGTGTCCTTTCGTGCCTCCGTAAGTGGGTGCTCGAACTGAAGCACTTTTCACACGCCGAGCATTTGAAGGGTTTCTCCCCCGTGTGAGTGATCTGGTGGGTGGTAAGAGAAGAACTCTGCACAAAGCTTTGGCCGCATTCTAAGCATTTGTATGGCCTCTCTCCTGTGTGAGTTTTTTGATGCCGGTTTAGCTGGGCGACTTGAATAAAACATTTGCCGCACTCCAGGCAGGGAAACGGCCTCTCCCCCGTGTGGTTTCGCTTGTGCAGGCTCAGTTTGGTCCTCGTGATGAAGCCCTTCCCACATTCCAAACACTGATGGGGCTTCTCCCCTGTGTGGATTTTTTTATGCTTGATTAGGTCCGAGCTACGAGCAAAGCCTATACCGCACTCGGAGCACTTATGAGGCTTCTCACCAGTGTGAGTCTTTTTGTGCTTCAGGAGATCCGAACTGCAAGTGAAACACTTTCCACACGTGGGGCACGCACGCGGCTTCTCCCCCGTGTGAATTTTTCGGTGTTTGGTAAGGTCAGAACTGCGAGTAAAACATTTGCTGCACTCCACACATTGGTAGGGTTTCTCGCCGGTGTGAATTCTCTGGTGGGAGGCAAGGTTACCGCTCATGCTGAAACTCTTTCCGCATTTTGAACATTGGTAGGGTTTCTCACCTGTGTGGGTTCTTTGATGAACATTGAGGTGTCTCTCTGAACTGAAACACTTTCCGCATTCCAAACATTTGGACGGTTTCTCCCCACTATGTGTCCTGCAATGGGAAGCGAGATTACTGCTCTCGCTGAAGCTCCTTCCACATTCTAAACATGTGTATGGTTTGTCCCCTGTGTGGATTCTCTGATGGACATTCAGGTGCATATTCGACATGAAGCACTTCCCACATTCCAAACATTTGTACGGTTTTTCCTCCATATGAATCATTCGGTGAGTAATCAGGGCCGAATTCTCGACGAACCTTTTCCCGCATTCCAAGCATTTAAAGGGCTTTCCCCCCGTGTGAGTCCTCTGGTGCCTCTCTAAATTTGTCTTCCAAATGAAGCTTTTCCCACAATCCGGGCATTTATATGGTTTTTCCCCCATGTGAGTGTTTTGATGCCTGCTCAGTTGTGCACTTTGGGTGAAATGCTTTCTGCACTCCAAGCATTTGTGCCGGTTTTCAGCCATGTGTGTTGTTTTGTGAGTGGTAAGATTTGTCTTCATCCTGAAGGCCTTTCCACACTCTGAGCATTCGTACGGCTTCCCTTCTTGGTGAAATCTTGGGTTTGTACTTGGTTTTCTTTTATCCATGATTCTCCACTCGTCACCTTAAGAGATAAAGACCAAAAATTGGGTAAGGATCTAAATTTGGAAATTGCCGCCTCCCAAATCACTATTTTAGGTAAGAAACTGTAGTAATAAGAGGAAATACTTCTGCACAAATAGCAATTATCATGTCACACTTAAGTTAATTTGCAAAAAAAAAAAAAAGACTTCTGAATCCTTATTAAAGTAGAGCATATCCCAAAAGTGTTTTTTTCTGGAGGCAATTGGACTTCCTTGTTTTTTCTATTGAAGACCTACCCCACTATCCTGTCAGAGCTGAAGAAGCTTCTTGGATGAGAAGCGAAACATCTTCAAAACATCTTCAAAAGAAAAAAAAGCAAGGAAGTCCAGTTGCCTCCAGAAAAACAACCATGGTGTGATGACCCAAAGGGGCATGGCACAAAAGCAACAAAATCACAAAAGTAGGTAAAGTCCCTTTAATTCCTCCAACTTGGCCCCCAATGTCCAGTTATCATCGACTGGAGAAAAAACTCTCCCAAGAACAGTTTTTAAAGGGAAGAAAGGGAAGAAATTCAGTCCGAACCCAAAGTACATATACATTATGAATAAAAACCAACACAAACCACACAGGCAGGATAAGGAATTGCAGACTTCAAAAGATAATGAAACACACACACACAGTTGGACGCCAGAATGTGACACATACAGCACCCCCCCCCCAATGCTCTGTTTTTGGATGTGGGCCTCAGGCAAGCCTCCTGGGGGGGCGTTTTTGTTCCAAGAAGGCTTCCCTGGGACCCAGGAAGGCAAAAAATGGAGTGCGGGGAAGCAGTAAAACAGCAAGGGGGATCCCGGAATAGCTGATCATCAGAACAGCTGATGTCGGGAGGGGAAAAAAAAAAGAAATAACTTAAGGAGAACGCAGTCAGAGATGTCAGGCATGCGTGACAAGGACTGACTGGTGGGGAGGAGAGAGGCGGGCGGAGGGGGTGGGGCCAGCCAGGGGCACGATTTGCTGGTTCTTCGAACTGCACAGAACCCTGACAACCGGTTCTATAGAACCGGTCTGAAACGTTAGAATCCCACCCCCTGTTGTAAAGCGCTGTAAAACGGTCTATAAGTCTATTGCTAAAACGTGAGGGTGAAAACAGTGCCTAAGGACGATATTGGGGAATATGTGTTCAGCTACTGTCTGCCTCAGAACTGACTGGCTCAGGGTTGACTCAGCCTTCCATCCATCCTAGGTGGGTAAAATTAGGACCCAGATTGTCGGGGGCAAGAGGCTGTAAAGTGCTTAGAGAGAGCTGTAAAGCAGGGGTAGGATTCCAATTTTTTAACAACAGATCCTGCGGGTGAAAAACTTCAACAGACAAACTGAAAAACTAAAAAACTTCAACAGACGCAATGAAAAGAACGTGAGGACTTGAAAACCTGCAAATGTATTTTAAAATCCTACAATAGCTGTGGGCATTGATTCCTAGGGAAAAAAAGAGCCTTACCAAGAGTGGCCAAAATCCCATTGATCTCCTCCATGACCTCTCGGTGCAGAGCTTTCTGGTCAGGCTCCAGCAGCGCCCATTCTTCCTCAGTGAAATGCACAGCCATGTCCTCTAAGGTGAAAAGCCTCTAAAAAAAGGAGAAAAAACTTCCTTGCTCACAGATCATTTACAGGTTTCTACTCTCTGCCTACAAAACAACATGGATCGTACCCCGAATGACCAATATTATTTATTTATTACATTTATAACAGTATTACTGGTGAATATCTAGAACCATGATAGTGAACTTATGGCATGCATGCCATAGGCAAAGCCATTTGTGCTGGCACGTGAGCTGCAGGCAAACTTACTGCGCGTGCGCGCACCTTACAGCTGATTTTCGGCCGGTTTGAGGCCTTTTTCGGACTCCCAGAGGCTTGAGGAAGGCTTCTGCAGGCTTTTCAGGACAAAAATTAGGCCTGTTTCCTCACTTCCTGTTTTTCTAGAAATACCGGAAGTGACGAAACGGGCCTAGTTTTCATCCTGAAAAGCCTGCAGAAGCCTTCCTCAAGCCTCTGGAAGTCCAAAAAAGGCCTCAAACTGGCCGAAAATCAGCAGTGAGGCGCAGTGCAGGTAAGGGGGCAATGGGGGGCGGGTGGGAGGTAGAGATTGCGCGCGCATGCATAGGAGGAGTGGAGGACTGTGCATTGCCTTCTGGGTGCTGGCATGCGAGCATAAGCGTGCAAGCGCGCGCACAATTTTTGGCACAGGAGCCCAAAAAGGTTAGCCACCACTGATCTAGAAGAGCTCCAAGATTCCTTCCAACTCTGTTACTGTATTCTATTCTATTCTATTTGTCAGAAATGAGAAAGTGAGAATGAGAATATGTGTGTATATGTCAGAGAGAGAGAGAGAGAGAGAGAGAGAGAGAGAAGGGGAGAGAGAGAGAAAGGAGAGGAAGAGAGGGAGGGAGAGAGAAAGAGAGAGAGAGAGGGAGGGAGGGAGGGAGGGTGACTAATTTCAGACAATGGTGCATGTAGTTCTTGACAAACATTCATTTAGTGACCATTTGAAGTTACAAAGGAGGTGAAAAAACTGATATGAAAATTTTTCACACGTACGACCACAGCAACATCCCCACCATCACGTGATCAAAATTTGGGTGCTTGGCAACTGGCATGTATTTATGACACTCACGCTATCCCAGAGGTCATATAATCACTATGCGTTACCTTCCCAGTTGATTTCTGACAAACCAAAGACAATGAGTGAAGCCAGATTTGCTTAACGACCGCATGATTCGCTTAACCACGGCAGCGATTCAACTGTGGCAAAAAAAGATCACAATGTGGGGCACAGCTCCCTTCACAAATGCCTTGCTTAACAGTGGAAATTCGGGGCTCAACTGGGGTCATAAGCCGAGGACGACCTGTATGTAGATGAAAGGATTTTCCTTGTCCTTCCCAGCCCAGTCCACTTCTCTTCTCTTCTCTTTTCTCTTCCCTTTACCTTTCTGGATTGGCAGCCCAGAGTGGCGGGAGGAGGGAAAGAAGGGATGTTTTTGTGGGAAGGAAAGGTGGATGCGCGCATGTGCAACCCGCCGCAACATATGTGGTGAGGCTCACATGATGGGGCCCAGTGGTGGGTTTCAAAGTGGTTTACCACTGGTTCGGTGGGCGTGGCTTGGTGGGCGCACTGTGTGCGCATGCGCGCGTGCCAAATACACACTTTGCGCAAGCGCAGACTGTTTCCTACTCACCTCCTGAAATCCTGCACTCTCTCTGTGGTTTCAACAGCTGACGGGCGGCAATTGGCGGTGCCGCGCAAAGCAGCTGTGCTTCAAAAGCAGGAAATGAAGGTCAGTATGGGAGCCCAGTCCCAACAGCAGCTCCTCAAGAGAGAAACAGTTCTGTCTTGGCTGATCTTCGGTGCTATCAGGTGGGCCAAACCGATAGAATCCCACCCCTGATGGGGCTGCAAGCGCCTTCAATGAGGCTCACACGAGTGAGACCACAACCGCCCATCACGAGGGTCACACGAATTGGGGGTCTGCAAAGTTCAGGCGAGTAGGATAAGTGCCCACGATGACACTCAGACGAATTGGGCCTCAAGCACCCGCGATGACGGTCACACGAGCAGGGCCTCAAGTGCCCATGATGACACTAGTGTGAGTGGGTCTCAAGTGCCTCCAATAAGGCGGAACTAGGATTGCTGGCAGCACTCCCATGGCCACAACTACCCGGGATGCTTGCGTGTGCAGGGCCATGCGTGCAGATGCATGCGCACCAGCTGGCTGGCCACTCACGCGGCCTGGTAGTGGATAGGCTATGGCCTGATAGTGGGTCATAGCCCACAGTCTTGGGGCCCCAGTGTCATACCCCTGTTGGAGTCTGACTCCAAGGGAGAGACGGAACAGCTGACAGGGAGTGGGAGTGTGAGAGCTCCGGTGGCTGTGGAGAAAACTGGGGAAGGGCACAGGCTGGATGGGCATTCAGAGGAAGACCCAGATCCCTTCTTCATCCTAGGGCACGCAGGGAGGAGCGGATAAGAGAGAAATGTGAGTGGCATGGTCTATGGGGGAGGAAGGGGCTCTGATCCCCTTTATGGGCTGCATCTGGGAGGACTGTTTAAAAAGGACAAACTGCGCATGGCAAAGGTACTGGAAGCAAAGTGTGTATTCTTGTCGGAGCTTATCTGTATTTTGGCTTCCTCCCAACTGTGGTTGCTGCATTATCTGGTAGAAGTCTGCAATTAATCATCCTTGCCTGCAGTAGTAATTCTTTCAGTGTGGTGGTGTTGGATTTTTTATTTTGAATTAACTTTACTTTGGGTGCGGACTGCATTTACTGCCTCTGTAAACTGTTTTCTTTAAGAGTTTGATATCCAGCCGAGGATAATTGGACATTGGAGCCAAGCTGGAGACATTAAAGGGACTTTCTTCTATTTTTGTGCCTTGGTTATTTTTGTGTCACGCCCTGGGTCATCAAACCTTGCCTTACCTGATCCCAGTGCAGAGCAGCCATTTTCCCTCCACCTTCAATCTCAAGAGGCTGAAGCTGTTTTTCCCAAATCACTCCATCTCCTGTGAGAGAAAGTTTGTGTCAAGATCATGCGCATTTGCTTCAGACAATGTTCATTTCACATACACAAACACACACACACGCAAAAGCCCACTTAGACAGTCCTCGACGTACAATTCGTTTAGTGACCGTTTGAAGTTACAACAGCGCTGAAAAAAAGTGACTTAATGACCATTTTCCACCTTTGCAACCTTCGAAGTATCCCCATGGCCACGTGATTTATACTCGGGAGGCTTGATAATTGACTCGCATTTATGACGGGCACAGTGTCCCAGGGTCACATGCCCCCCCTTCCATCCCTTTTTTCAAACTTCTGACAAGCAAAGTCGATGCGGAAGCCAGATTCATTTAACAACCGTGTTGCTAATTTAACAACTGAAGCGATTTGCTTAACAGTGGCAAGAAAAGTCGTAAAACGGGGCAAAACCTCACTTCACAAAGGTCTCACTTAACAACATAAATGTAGGGCACAATTGTGGTCATAAGTTGAGGACTACTTGTATTTCCTCACAAACACCATTAAAAAAAAATAACTACAGGTTAGTCCTTAACAGTTTGCTTAGTAACCTTTCAAAGTTCGTACGGCATTGAAAAAAGTGACCTATGACCGTTTCCACACTTATGACTGCTGAAGCACCCCTCCCCCAGTCACGAGATCAAAATTGAGACGCTTGGCAATGGGTTCATATTTATGATGGTTGCAGTGTCGTAAGGCTGTGGGATCAGTTGTCATGCCCTTGTTGGAGTCTGATTCTGAGGGGAAGATTGAGCAGCTGACAGGGAGTGGGAGTGTGGCTCCGGTGGCTGTGGAAGAAACTGGGGAAGGGCACAGGATGGCTGGGCATTCAGAGGATCAATCAATCACCCCACCCACCTACCATCAACCAATCACCCCACTCACCTACCCATAAACCAACCAACCAACCCACTCACTCATCCATCCACAATCAATCACCCCACCTACCTACCCATCAACCAATCAACCCACTCACCCACCCAATCAACCAACCCATCAACCAATCACCCCAATCCCCTACCCAATCAACCAACCCATCAACCAATCACCCCACCGACCTACCTATCAACCAACCCACTCACGCACCCAATCAACCAAGCAACCAACCCACTCACCCATCCAGCCACCCAATCAATCAACCTACCAAACCATCAATCATTCAATCAGCCAATCAGAACAACTGGAAGGAACCTTGGAGGTCTTCTGGTCCAAACTCTGGAGGAGGAGGCTGTAGAAGCTCCGAAGGCGAGGAATTATCACAGGGTGCCTCCTTGCTTTTCTCCCGGGGATCCCCAAGTCGATCTCCGCCCAAATCGGTCGCCAACAAGGCCTCCGCCGGGTCCCCGTAGAGGCACCAAGGCGGCGACAGCAGCCAGAGCGGCCGTTGCGACCCGAAAGACGCCCTGGTTGCGGGAGGATCTTCCGCTCTAGGAATTCCTTTCCGTGCTTTTAACTCTGTCCAGGTCTGCAGCGGCGGGTGGGAGTCCCCTCGGCGGAATGCTGAGCCCGATGCTCTGGGAGACGCCAGGAGAAGGAGAGGGCGCGAGGAGTTCCGCTTGCCAAAGAAAGAAAGTGGGATCCGCTTAACGACCGAGGAAGAGCTCGGAATTATGGCGAAGAAGGCAGAGGCTGCCGGCCACCTCATTGCATGATGATGATGATGAGGAGCCATTAAGGCAGGGCTCTTCAAATTTGACAGCTTTAAGACTTGTGAACTTCAACTCCCAGAATTCCTCTTCCAGTCATGTTAGTTCAGGAATTCTGGGAGTTGAAGTCCAAAAGTCTTAAAATTGCCAAGTTTGAAGACCCCTTGCATTAAGTTTTTTTTTTGGCCCCTCCACCATCTGACAAGCTCATAGCTTCCTTTTTGGGGGGTGAGTGGGTGGGGTGGAGATGGATAGCTGCTGCAAGAGGGAGGAAGTGATACCTGGGATGGGAGGGGAGGAGAAATGGGGGGCAGGGAGACATTTTTACAAGTGGGACACAGCAAGTGGGGCCTGGCTAGCCTAGTGAAGAGAAGGACCAGGGGTGACATGATAGCAGTCTTCCAATATCTCAGGGGCTGCCCCAAAGAAGAGGGAGTCAAGCTATTCTCCAAAGCCCCTGCGGGCAGTTGTTCCATGGATTAATTGGGTGCAATGGGTGGAAACTTATCAAGGAAAAAAGCAACTTGGAATTAAGGAGAAACTTCCTAATAGAACAATTAATCCATGGAACAACTTTGCCTCTAGGAGTTGTGAATGGTCCAACATGGGAAGTTTTAAAGAAGAGACTGGACAACATTTGTCTGAAATGGTATAGGCTTTCCTGCCTAAGCAGGGGGTTGGACTAGAAGACCTCCAAAGTCCCTTCGGCTTATTCTATTCTGTTGTGTTCTATCCTTCCCCATCGCTATCCCTAGTCCATTCTGTTCTCGAGAAGAATTAGGGTGACATGATAACAGTGTTCCAATATTTGAGGGGCTGTCACAGAGAAGAGGGGGACAACCTATTTTCCAAGGCCAGACAAGAAGAAGCTTCTTGGGTGAGAAGCCAAAACGTCTTCAAAGAAAAACCAGAAAGTCCAGTTGCCTCTTGAAACAAGCACTTTTCCGACAATCCAGTTGCCTCTTGAAAGAAGCACCTTTCGGACAATCCAGTTGCCTCTTGAAAGAAGCACCTTTCAGACAATCCAGTTGCCTCTTGAAACAAGCACCTTTCGGACAATCCAGTTGCCTCTTGAAAAAAAACACCTTTCGGACAATCCAGTTGCCTCTTGAAAAAAGCACCTGAGACAATACAGGCAGTAAATCTTACAGATTCCCCCACCTCCAGCCTTTTTGAAAGCTCAGGAAATTAAAGATTGTATTTGCACTCGTTAGGGAGGAAGAGAATACCAGGAAATAAATAGACACGCCCGTGGGGAATTCACATTGAGAGGGTTTGAACAGCGCTTGGGGCTGTGACCTGCACGCCAGCTGTTAATTTATCAAAGTCAAGCCAGGGATCTTATGAATATCAGGGAGTAGCGCAAGCCAGGTGCCAGAGGCCACTAATGAACTAATTATGGTTGGATAACCTTATTAGGGAAGCACCAGACCTGGAGGGGGGAGGGAGTTGCTGAGGATTAGGGTTAGGGTCTCACTGCTTTCCAAAGAGGGGAAAAGTTTGGGGGGTAAGGAGCAGGAACCATGTCAGCATTGTGTTCTATGGACTATTCTTAGATAAAACATCCTACCTTTTGCTTAACTCAAGCATTGTCTGCAAAGACAGCAAACTTTTGCCTGTTCCCAGTATTTTACCTTTCTGTGCTGAGATTGTGGAGATGAGAAGACAGATTTGAGTTGATTATACACTGAAATCTATCTATCTATCTATCTATCTATCTATCTATCTATCTATCTATC